AATTCTTCGTTTTGTTGTTTAATTTCTTCTAAATTACTTTGTTGTACTTCATTTATTCGTTTTTGTAACTCATCTCTTTCTTTTGTTATTTTTTCTTTTTCTTCACTTTCTATTTGTATTTTTTCTTCTACTTTTTGTAAATCGTTTTGGAATTCTTTTTTTAATTTTTCTTTTTCTTCAGAGTTTTCTTTTTGGAGTAAATCAACTTGATTAGTTTTGTTACTAAGTTCGTTTTTTATTTCTTCAATTTGACTTAAATAATTATTTTGTAATTCATTTTTTTCTTTTTCTACCTTTTGATTTATTTCAATCTCATTGTTTAATTTAAATTGAATTTCATTATTTTGGTTAATTATCTTTTCGTTATTATCCTTCATTATTTTTAGTTGATTTTCTAAATCTTGAATTTGGTTTTGATATATTTTTGTAAGATTATCAAGTTCAGCTTTTGATGAAGAAATGACATTGTCTTTTGTTTTTATTTCATTTTGTAAATTTTCTCTTTCTGATACAATTGTTTCATTAATACTTTTATTTTTTTCTTCTAGTTCTTTTATTATTTTTTCTTGTTCTTCTAATTTGATTTCAAATCTTTCTTTTTCTTGACTTTCTTGTTGTTGTTTTGTTGTTATTTCATTTTGTAATTTTTCTATTTCTTTTGTAAATTGTTCATTTAACTCTTTTTCTTTTTGTTCATTTTCAATTTTTAATTCTTCAAGTTCTTTAGTTTTAGTTTCAACAATATTTTTCAGTTCATCTACTTGGTTAGTTAATTGAATAGTTTTTTCTTCATTAACTTTTTTTAAAGTGTTTAATTCTTCAGTTAGCAATGAATTATTTCTTTCAACTTCTTTTTTTTCTTTTTCTTCACTAAGTACTTTTTTATTGAATTCTTTTATTTTGTTATTTAAATCATTTTTTTCTTGAACTAATTCACTCACTTGATTTACTTTCTCTTGAAGACTGTTTTCTAAATGTTCAATACTTTTTTTATTCTTTTCAATTATTTCATCTCTTTCTTTTTGAAGATTTTGTAGATTATTTTTTTGAATATTTTCTTGTTGTTCTAAATTAATTTCTAATTGTTTAATTGTATTTTTTAAATTAGTTATTTCTTTTGTTGATATTATTATTTCATCTTCATGCGGTATAAAATTTTTTAATGTTTCAATTTCGTTTTCTTTTTCTTTTATTCGAACTGTAAAATCAGCAATTTGACATTCTTCTTCTTTTTTTAAAATTCCATTTTGTTGTGTAACTTTTTTTAGTTCTTGAAGTTTGTTTGTTAACTCTTCATATAATTTGTTGACCCTAATATCTTTTGCTCGAATTTCTTCTTCGAGTAATGTTAGCCTGTCATCGAAGTTATTTTTTTGAATGATTTCTATTTTATTGTGTAAAGAGATATTTTCATTTGTTAATTGATCAATAAGATCTTTGAAATCCATTTGATTATTAAGTAATTTTTTATTCTTCTTTTTTTATTTTTTAACTTTTAATTTTTTAAATAAAAAAATAATAACAAAAAAGTAATAACAAAAAATTGAAAGAAAATTTATTTATAAACGTTCAATAAAAGGAGAGAATGGTCAGTTGTTGCTACACACCATTCTTTGTTATAAATACCACAATCAACATTAAAAATAGGGGACTCAGAAGTACATTCAGAATAACTATTTGATTTAATAGGATTCCATAATACAACACCAGAGTTAGTAGCAATTGCAATTTGAGGAAGAAACCAACATAAATCATTCATATCAGATTTTGTTATAAATTCCATTATTTTTTGGTTTTCCATTCTACAGTCAATGACATGAAGTACTGTCTCTGTTCCTATTGCAATTTTTGTTTGATCTCTAAAAGAAAATGACACTGAACATCCTATTCTATCACTTAATTTTTTAACACTATTACACCGTGTATCATATAAATATATTCCTGTATTACAACTCACTACAAATGATGTCTCATCTTCATATGAAGTTGAAACATCATTTATCATTTCAAATTGTTTTGTTGTCATTATTTGGTTCTTTTGTCCTAAATTCCATAATGATAATTCTCCATTTAATCTCCATGAAAGAAGTTGTGGAATTTTTCCTTTAAATGATTCTACACCAATTATTGGATAATCTGACTTATTGTACAATGAAAATCCATCTACAAGTGTTGGCATTAAATCTCCTATTTTCTCATTTAAATAATATACTTCTAATGTTTCTCCAGCACAAACTACTGAATCTTTTTTAAACCAAAATGGTAAAAATTGAATATCACTTGATGGTAATAAATTTCTTTTATTTGTTTGAATCTCTAATGGAACTAAAGAATTTGCTATTGATAAATAATTTAATATATGAACATGTGTAGTTGGTTTATCAGAACATGTAGTATATCCTATTTGAAGTGGACAATCTTTTCTTTTATTTATACTTACTGATGTAATATCATTTTCTTCAAAGTAAATCATTCCATTTTGGTTATTTATCATATATAATTTAGATCAGTTCATCTTTCTTCTTTTTTTGTAAAAAATCCTTCTTTCGAATATCTCTTCATTTATTTCTTTTTCTCTTTTTTTCCTTTCATTCAAAAATATTGGTTTATGTTGTTGAAAAAATTTCATTCCTTTGATTATTTATTTTTTCCTAATTGTTTTTTTAATCCGATAACATTAACTCGAAAACAGTATTATCACTTATGTTTAATTGTAAATAATTTTTTTTCATTCAGAAATATTATAATAACATTAATTTCACTTCTTTTTCTATTTCTTTATGAGAATTTGAACCATTATTCTCTTTAAGTATTCATTATAATTACAACTATAGATAGATAAAATAAATTCTTTTTATTATTTTGTTCTTATAGACTCTTTATTTTCATTGAAACTTTTATTTATATTTTTTCTTATTTTAATAAATTACTTGTTCTTATACTTATTAACCAGTTTATAGGAAGTATTATTACTATCATTTCTTCTTGTTTTCTTTCAACTTTTCTTATTCTCTTCTTTATTCATTCTTAATGTTCAGTTATAAAATTAATTATTTAACTAATTATAATTTTGATTTCCATTTTTTAAATTTCAACCAATGAAGATATTGTCTTTTGAAGTTTAAAATAGTATAACTTTTTATTATTCTTACTAACTGTTGTTATAACAATATAATTGTTTCAATTTCTAATAATTATAACATTATTAATATAATAAATATGATAGTATAATTTATTTCTCATCTTGATTTAGTTGTATTTTGTTTTAAATGTAGTTTAATGTTGACTATTAGATAATCTATTATTATAATGCTAGCGTATCAGTATTTTATTTTAAATAATTATTGTTTGTCGTTTTGTTATATGTTCTAAGTTCTAAAATAATACAATTTTCTCTCTATTCATTGTTATTTCTTCTATATGAATTATCTATTTTAGTAGTTATATTATTTATGAAGTTATATAATCAATAATTGATTAGTATTATTATAATCTTTTATAACACTCAAACACATATTAATTTAATTATTCTTTCATTTAAGAACTTTTTAATTCACAGAGAATAAAATACTTTTCTAGAACTGAAGTATAACGAGTTATGTATTTTATTTAAATAGTTAATAACTGCCACAAAAAAGGAAATAAGAGAAAAAGGAAGAGAAATTATAAAAAAGAATGATATGAAAGAAAAAGTGAAATTAGGAAGTAGAAGAAGATGAAAAGAATAAAAGTAGAATGTTGAGAATATAAAATGAAAGAAGATAAAAATGAATAATTCAAAATGAGATAATAAAAGATGAAAAGAATGATGAAATAAAGGACGTATTTTTATTATAGAAATTAGAAATATGAAATAAAAAAAGCGTTTAATTTATTAACGCAAATTATTTAACATTATTTTATTGATATAATTTATTTTATTCATTTTTATTTTTATGATTTTATTTATATGTATTACTTATTCACTTATTTTGGTTCCCCAAATTGTTAATTAAATCATATTTGATTGAATTCTATCATTTTGTTTAATATCATTTTGTTAGATATTACAAAGAAACAATAAATATTTAATAAATCATCAATTATCTTCTGTGATAAAACTAATTTAATAAAATAGATAAACAATTAATGATGAATATAAGTTTTTAGTGATGAAAAAAGTATTAATAAAGAAATAAGTTGTAGTTATTAGAAATAATGATTGTATTTAATAAATAAATGGATGAGTTAATAAGATAATGATATTATAAGAATGAATAAATAATAAATAAATAAGGAATACCGAAGTTTATAAAGAATAACACTATATAACAATATATCTTATTTAATTTCAAGAATATAAATTATAATCAAAAAGTATTGATATTGTTAATAGAATGAAGTAATAATAACACAATGATGATTTATTAATATCATTTAATTTTAAAAGAAAAATGAACAGTGATTTAAGTGAAGATTAAATAATATGAGAATAAATGAAAAGATCAATTCAAATGAAGAAAGTTATATAAAAACATGAACAAACAAATTCATAAGATTAAACATAACTAATAAATAAATTATGATAAAATTCATTGATGAATTTAAATTGTTTTACTCTTTTGAGAATCAACAAAATAACAGTTATAATAAATTAGTTGAATTCATATATTTAATAATTAAATTTATTATTATTACAGAACAACATCAGTGTATTTGATATTTATTTAAATAGAATTTCACAACAATAACAA